GGAGCACCCTGCTGGGTCACCTTCCTCCTTGAGAAAGACCCGGAGAGTCCCTGTGCTCCTCCCCTACAGGCCCGAGTTTCCTGCAGCACTTTCGCCAGCAGCTCAGGAGGCTTCCTCCCTCAAGCCAGAGCCCTGGTTTTCAAGCTCTCTGGGATGGTTGGTGCTTCCTTCGGTGGCATCTCTGTCCCAGGGCACCTTCTGGTTGTGTCAGCTGGTTCCTAACGGCAGCCCTGCATCTGCATAGTGCCAGTGTTTGTTAGCACTTTCCCTAGTGGCGCGGGGGTCACCATTTTTCCTGTCACTGGGCCTCTTGGCACCGAGTTGGCCTTTTCTCTGGAGCAGCACCATCATGCTGCCTTGCCCAGTGTTTTGGGTGTGAGCATTGCTCATTCCTGGGACTGGCTTCTCGGTCACAACAGTACCTTTCCTCCAAGCCCACTGGGTCTTGCCAGCCACACGCTGGGAGGTGGAATCTGCACTTTGCCCTAAGGCTCTTACTAGCCCAGTGTAGCTGGGCTTCCTCGGTTCCAGTACCGTTATGATGCCTTCACGCTTTTTGTGGGTCTCAGAGCTGAGGGACAGATCGCCCCCACACACTGTTTTCCTCGGCCTGGCCCTTGGGCAAAATGTGCAGACCAGTGCCCAGCGATACCCTGGCAGGTTGGACCTTTGGCAGACCCCGGATGCTGCAGGGGGCTTTCTCCTCCCACCTGGAGAGCAGTGAGAGCTCTGCTCTCACCGCAGCATTGTCCACGGCGGTCCAGGTCTAGGAGCCTTGAGATTTCTGCTCACGGCTTCTATTGCATTTTTCTCTCCAAAATGAATATTATTTACAGTAACATCTCTTCGTTTCCAAAAAAAAAAAAAGTTTGCCTTCATGTTTCCTTGCAAAATGCTGCCTGTCTTTCTTAGTATAATTACAGAGAAATATCAAAGGGGCAGGGAGGCATTTAGGTGCCTGTTTTTTGTTTATTTTTCTGCTTGACTTGTAGTACCACCCTGATGGCTGAGGGTGGCAGTGTGGAGAGTGTAAGGAGGAAGCAAGGGTCCCCTGATAACCTGAGGGCCTGGCTTCCCTAGGCGTTGAGACCTTTGACATCTGACTCTTGCCTGACTTTTTGAACGTTCCCTCTGGAGGAGCAGGTTTAGGGCCACTAACAAAAGTTGCTGCCCCACCTTACCTCAAAAAGTGAGCCTGAACATCTGAGCAGATCCAGTAGAATGCAGGTGGTAGAGAGGTCCTGACCTGCAAGAAGCACCCCCACTTGATATGCTGCAGCCCTTTCTTAGAGTTAAAGCCCTCAATGTTCAAGGCAGAGTGAAAAGGTGTTACTTTATTCCACAGTCTGACCACAGGGTGATATTTTTGCTATTTCAGTTCAAAATGAATTCCTCCTCATATTTGTACCTAGGCTTACCATTTGACAGCTATGGCTGAGAATATACTACCTGAGAGAGGTAAAAGCAATTCCAAAATCAAAGAGCGAGCGTGGTGCGTGAGTTCGAGCCCCGCATCAGGATCTGTGCGGACAGCTCAGAGCTTGGAGCCTGTTTCAGATTCTGTCTCCCTCTCTCTCTGCACCTCCCCCGCTTCCACTCTGTTTCTCTCTCTCTCTCAAAAAAATAAATAAACATTTTTTTAATTTAAATTACAAAGTGTGAGGTGGTGCTCTGTCCTATGACTTAGTGTTGCCCGGAGCTGGCCTGGGACTCCTGGGTAGGCACTGGTGTTCTCCTCTTTAATATAAAGTTTCACAGGACACCAAATCAGAGAAAACTACTCAGTGCCATGGGTGGATTAAGACAAAAACAAAACCACTCTGCAGTCATATCTGAACACAAACTCAGGAACAATACCTAACCACAAAATGCTACCTGTTCGGCAGAAATGGGTAGACTTAAGTCCGAATAGCCACTAGGGGGAGGCATCCCAGGAGAGATCCTTGGATAATCTGATACCTTCCCCTAGAACTTTGGAGATCATGGATAGACCTGGAAGTAGTCTGAAGTTCAGAAGCATGACCTTACAGGGTGGCTTATAAAGTGAAAAGGAGAAACTTGTTTAACCTTTACAGTGATTGAATATTACAAGGGGAGTTTCCTGATGGCAGGGATTGGGTACAAGTGATTATATTACACTATTTTGGAAAGATGATAAATTTCATTTATGATTATCAAAGGCATTTAAAGAAATAACTTAAGATTTGCTATGTTCATGAAATAGGCTAGATTGAGTTTTGCTTATGTGGCTTAAATGGTTTTATCTGCTCCAGGGGTTTTTCAACCCTGGTCTCCATTTAAATGTGTATGAACCACAAAGACACCAAATATCCAAGCCATTGTGAGGAAAAAGAACAAAGCTGGAAGCATCATACTTCCTCATTCTAATTGTGGTATGAAGCTATAAAAATAAAAAAATAATAATAAATTAATAAAAATAACATAATACTAGTACACGTGCAGATACATAGACCAATGGAACAGAACAGAGAGCTCAGATTTAAACCCCCCACATGTACAGTCAACTAATATTAGACAAGGGAGCCAAGAGCACCCAATTGGTAAAGGATAGTCTCTTCTACAAATGGTGTTGGGAAAACTGGATAAACAAGTACAGAACAATGAAATTAGACCTCTACCTTATACAACTCACAAAAATTAACTCAACATGGATTAAAGACTACATTATACTATTGTAATCATATTCTTTAGTATATTCACTACAAATTTTCTCCTTGTGGTTACCATGTGCTTATTAGTTTAAATGTGTAACACCCTATTTTTTAAAAATTATTTTTCAATTTATTTAAACTAAAAACAATACCCATTTCTCCCACCTCTAATCCCCCACCTCTGGCAACCATCCATCTGTTCTCTGTATGTATGACCTTACTTTCAGTTATATTTATTTCAATATTAAAAATATATATTTGCTATATAAAATACATACATATTTTAGGTTCTACATACAAGGGATACCATGTGGTATTTGTCCTTATTTGTCTAATTTATTTCACTTAGCATAATGGCCTCTAGGGCCATCCATCTGGTTGCAAATGGTAAGATTTTATTCTTTCCTTATGGCCAAATCGCATTCTACTATGTGCGTGTAACACCCTATTTTGAATTGATAACAAATTAATATTGATAGCATTTTTAACTTTACAGTTTTACTTTCCCTCACATTTAGGTTATTGATATTATAGTTTGCATATATTATATTGCATATCCAATAACATATTGTTGCAGTTATGGCTTTAATACATTTGATTTAAAAATTTTATTTTCTTAACTTTATTTATTTATTTTGACAACCACACACAAAGTAACCACTTGAGCTAAAGCCGACCCAATTATTTTGAGAAGGCAGGGAGGAACAGAGAGACGGAGAGAATTCCAAGCAGACTCCTGCTGTCTGTATGCAGCCCATAGGTCTCCATCTCATGAACCGTGATATCAGGACCCGAGCCAAAATCAAGTCAGAAGCTTATGCTGATATCGCTAGCAGAAAGATATCTTGTTCACCGCTATGCAAGGACTTCGACTGAGGTGCCAAATGTAAACAAACTCTCAAATCATGATTTTGCAAAACGTGCGACAAGAAAGACATAGTTATAATATTTCCCTATTGTACACCAACTTCTGAAAAGTGAAAAAGGAAAAAAAAGAACACGTCTATGTCGTACTTTTAAAGATACAGGTCACCACTATACAGGTGGCAAATGTGAACAAAATTAAATTGTGATTTCCTAAAGCGACTAGGAACACAGAAAATATTTCTCCCCCCTGTTCACCAACATCTAGAAAGTGAAGAAAAAGGACCAACTCCACGTGGTAGTCTTTAGGACAGTGCTCACAGAAAGATATCATGTTCACCGCTGCACAATGACTTTCACTGAGGTGAAAAATAGCAACCAAGTTAAATCGTCATTTCCCAAAACTTGTGAGGAGAAAACAATTGTTTTTCCCTACTGAAAAGGGAAGAAAAAGGAAAAACTACGTGTTGTACTTTTAGGGATACTGGTAGTAGGAAGATATCATGTTCCCCACTGTACAAAGGCATCCACTGAGGTGGCCAATGCAAAGTTAAATCGTGACTTTGCAGAACTCGTGAGGAGAAAGAAATCGTTTTTCACGCTGTATATCAACGTCTAAAGAGTGAAGACAAAGGAAAACGTCCACGTGTAATTTCTGTGGTATTTCTAGCAGAAAGATACACTGGTCACCATTTGACAAAGACTTCCACTGAGGTGGTAAAACAAGCAAAGTTAAATCGTGATTTTGCAGACATGGTACGAGAAGGAAATCCTTTTGCATGCTGTACACTGACTTCTAAAGAGTGAAGACAAAGGAAAACGTCCATGTGTAATTTCTGTGGTATTGCTAGCAGAAAGATACTGTGTTCACGGGTATACATGGAAGAAGCAGATACGAACAAAATTAAATCGTGATTTCCCAGAACTTGCCAGGAGAAATCCTTTTTCACCACTGTAAACCAACTTCTACACGGTGAAGAATGAGGAACAAGTCCATGCGGTAACTTTAAAGATATTGGTAGTACGAGTTACCGTGTTCACCTGTATAAAACGACTTCCACTGAAATTGCAAACCTAAGCAAAGGTAAATCGTGATTTTGCAGAACTTGTGAGGAGAAAGTAATCGTTTCCTAAGCAGTAAACCGACTTCTAAAAAGGGAAGCAAAAAGAACAAGTCCATGCGGTAATTTCCATCATTCGGCTAGAAGATCCTGTGCTCACCAGTATACAAGGACTTCCTCTGAGGCGGCAAATACAAACAAAATTAAAGGCGATTTCGCAGAACGTGCCAGGAGAGAAAAGTCATTTTGCCCCAGTGTACACCGACTTCTAGGAATTTAAGAGAGAGGAACAAAGCCAAGTCCTACTTTTTACTATAAAATATATAAGGGACCCGAATGTAGCAATCAACCAGAAACGAAAAGTAGAAACCTCAGAGAATGAGAAGAACTGGACAGAGAACTCTGAAGGGCACATCTTAAGAGATTTTTATGTTGTAAGTTTCACAAATGAGACTCTTTTCCGAGGGCAGCTAGGAAAGGCTCCCGCTGCAATCTCAGGGCTCCTTAGTCCCAAAGATGCTCCTGCAGAGGCCGCTCCTCAAGGTGTACACGGTGTGACCAATCCAATCCAAGCAGCCTGAGAATGCTCCCACGGGACTCCACCGAGCTGGCAGGGGTCTGCGGTGCTCCGAAGGGTCCCCGCGGTCTGGTCTCCTCCAGCCTTCTGTCGCCAGGCGCTGCGTCCTGGTGCAGGGAAGCTGCTGGTGCGAGAGTCCTTCGGGTTCCTTCGCAGAGTCCGCCTCTCCTGAAGATGCCTCTGGCTTCTTCTGTGTCCCGGGCCAGAGGTCCACAGTGGGCAGAGCGGGTCTGGGTTCCAAGGTGCAGTGGGATCTGGGCAAGACTTCCTTTTGCGGGTAGACCCAGCGAAGCCGCCAACAAGGACTGGAAAGCAGTTCCGAAACCAAACCACCACCGTGGCCTGAGGATTCTCCCAGCACAGGATAGAAAGGGAGTGGGCAAAGCCCAGAATCTTCTGAGTTCAACAGAGATGCAGGCTGGGGCTCTGGCGCCCCCGCTGTGGAATCCCAAGCCTCTTTCACACGGCCAGGAAAATGCGGCTACATCGCGCTCGGGGCTCTGATCTCCAGGACTCAAGCTTTGCACAGATGAAGTAAGCTAACCTACAGCAGTACTGCAGCCTGGGTACTTATGCTGTCTCCGGGTGTGGGCGGAGGCAAGGCAGAAGTCTGGAGAAAGTCACGCGACTGAGTGGTAACAAATCAGTGGAGACTACAGGAAAAAGGAGAACCTGGCAGAGAACGCATAAACCAAAGCAACAGGCCCATTACTAAAACCAACCAACAGGCGCAAAGCAAACGGACAGGCAGAAAACAAACCGAAAGGAGGAAAACAAACCGAAATGAAACCGAAACAAAAGCAAACCATACGGAAACTAACCCAACAAATAAAACATTCGATATTATGGGCAAGAAGAGGATGCCTTTGGAGCGCAATTTCTACACCGGCTGGCCTCACATGTCCATGCTCAACAAAGGTCAGGCCAGCCCAGGGGAACCAGCCGTGCTGGGGTTGAGAAGGAGATGGCACAGAGAACCCTGGGGTCCTGAGTGGGAGAAACTATGTACTAGGAACGGCGCCCAGACCAGAAACTGTCCTTGGCACTCCAGGCCATAAAGCAGGCAGTGTGTGCCTCCTGTCTGGCAGAAGGACTGGTGCAGCCTGCAGGAAACAGGGAGGCCCAGCATCTGTGGGGCTGAGACTGAGCTTGCTCTCAGTAGGTGAAGGCAAGTTAGAGAGCATGCAGCTGAGTGGTGAAACACGCAAGGAAATAAGTAGGATACATAACAAAGTTAAATTCAGGAAGTAAAATAACATGAGCATTGGATAAACTACCAAGATGTAAATAGAAATCAAAACACATAGATCCCAACACAAATGAAACCAAACACATCGATTTCCAAGGAAAATACACTGCAGGAGAATAGAAGACTAAGGGAGCAAATGCATTCATAGAACCCCTCCCCCTCAGAGAAAGAAATTGCAAACATGCTAAATGCTCCTTTCCCAGATTATTATATTTCCGTCAGCGTCAGCATAATCGTGTGTTCCGTAAGCACAAACCCAGAGGAAGCAGGAGTAAGAAATAGCTGCCACTGCTAAGCCAGTATTTGTTACACCTAAAAAAAAAAAAACCTCATTAGCCAGTATGTAGGGACTCCACGGGATTTAAAGAGAAAGAGCCGACTTCAGTTGCAAATACAGTATTGTGCGATTAAGAAATTGAGTTCTACAGTGTCCTTAAACAAAAACATAGCTAAATCAGAATTTCCTTGAACTTCTGCAAAGAAGAAATCTTTTCAGCTGGTGGACAGTGACCTTTAGGGGACTTCATAATAAAAAGCACAGTTTGAACTTCTATTGCAAAAAATTAACTTGGTAGAACTAAGAAATCAATGTAATGAACAGCTAAGGCAGACTGTCACTTGCACAACCAAACCTGCCTACAGTGAAGAAATCATTTTCAGCAGTATATACTGATTTTCACGGGATTTCATATTAACAAATGATTGGCAGACCTTGTGTTTCCAACCCCTAACTTACTATGATTAAGAAACCGCTTTTGTCTCTATATGCACTGACTTTCACAGCATAATAAACAGGAACACAGCTAAATCTTGATTTACAGAAGTTGCTGGGATGAAGAAATTATTTTCCTCAGTTTATATCAACTCTGAGAGGACTTAGTAAGTGGGGAGAGGGTACTTCCTATGGCAAATGCAGCACTGCTACGATTAAAAAACCATTTTTGCCTCACACCTTGACTTCTAAGGGCTTAAAGATGCAAACATACTTAAGGCAGAACACCCCAGAACTGACTCCAAATCAGAAATCTCTTTAGCAAATATACACCGACTTCTAGAAAACTAATAATCAAAAACAGTATGTCTGAATTTCCTAGAACGTCCGACCAATGAGCAATTTTTGTATTCTGTTGATATTGACTTCTCCCAGATTTAGTAATAAAATGTACTTCCTATTGCAAACAAAACAAAACAACTGTTCTAATACTACCCCCAAAAAAGGTAGTTTTGCCAATATACCCCTACTTCTGTGGGACCTAATAACAAACATAGGCATGGCAGGTCATCGCATTTCTGAGAAACACTTGCTACCATTGAAAAAGAAATGGCAGGCCTGATGAACAGGTACAGATTCCTTGCAAATCTGGACACATTCGGTCTGACACTGAGCTCACCTGATCTCAGATATACCAGAGACATGGGTTTATTCAGACTTATTACAACTGGAAATCTTAGGCTGAACTGAAGCACCCACCTCATGCTACGCTGGTAAGTCGCTAAACCGGAATCCGGTCAGACCTAGAAATCTGCAGGGCAGGATTAAATACTCATTTGCCAGAATCAACATGGACTTCCTTTGACTAAGAAGTTCCAGGCCTGGCTAAACCCTTGATTCGCCTAAAGCGGGATCTGCTCCGCGGAGAAATCTCATTGGCCGCTGTTCTCGGACTCGGCCAAGATTGGAAATCGCAGGCGCGACTACACGGGACCTGCTACAACAAGGAAATCCCACGCACCGCTAATTCCAGGTGTGCTAGAAGGAAGAAATGCATGATGACGGTGAAACCTGGAGGGTTGGAGACCGAGACCCGACCAACACAGGCAGTGATTGTTCCAATGTCCGGATGGAGGCGTTCTGACGTCGCTGGCTTCTCTGCGAAAGAGCGAGCGCCGGCGCATCTCCACTAGCAAAGGGCCAAAGAGCAGGGGCGGTCTGGACGCTAGCCGCCGAGCAGCCACCAAGACACAGAATGAATGCTCCGGGGAACTAGGGAAACTTGCACCTGTCAAATGGCCAGATCGGGACGATTAGAGAAATGCAAACTGGGGGAGACGAGCGGTGCTGCCTACGACAAACACCCGCACCGCGAAGTCACGTAATAGGGGCCGTCACTGAGAAACAGTGCAGGCCGGGTCGTGGGCGGTGCTGCCACAGAGCCTGTGCACAATCCGGGCTGTGACAGACAAACCGCCGGCTTGGAGCTACTGGCCAAAGTGGCAAGGGGACGGCCGGGAAGGGCGACCACCGGAAGGCCGGCACAGGCCTTCCTGGGCAGAGGAAGGGACGGCACCCAACGACCCTGAACTTTGGGCGGAGTTCAAGTGGTGGCGCAGAAATCCCAGAGGTATCTGGTGGGCGCTGCTCGCGAAGGTGGTGATGAGAAACAGGCTGCTGTGTACCGGCACGGAGCTCCCCCCCCCCCCCCACAGGCACACCTGGCTGGGCTCATGCACAGGTGCTGCCCCTTGACCCCCCCCACCCCGATTTCCCTGCTGCCAGTGGGGCCGGGAACGGAACACCCCGCTAAGCGAAAGGATGGGCGACACCGGCGAAACACACCCAGCTCCGCGCCAAGCAGAGCCACCTCCACCGGGAAAGCGCCAGCCCGGCTCTGCCAGAAACTGTGACCGCACATCTTGGGCCATGCACCTAGTGGAGGGGAGGCTGACACCTGCCAACGCTGGAAGGAGCAAGGGCCAGCAGAGAGCACTGATCAGTGCAGGGGCCCGACAGTTGGTCTCAGGGAAGGGAGATGTGCCTTCCCAACCCCCTGCTTGGATGGGTACTCCCAGGGGAAATAAGGAGAAACGGGCTGAGATCCCTCAACGGAGCTGCCTGAGCGACCTGCAGTTCCCTAGAAGGAGTGGTGCTGGGACACTCCCTGTGCCAGCACAGCAAATGGCTGTGGTGGAGCCAAAGATGAACATCCCTCCTCCCAGAGCAACTGTGGTGCCGGGAGGAACCAGCGGTTCTGAGCATTCTGGCAGCTCTAGTGGGAAACCCTTGGTTCTGAATCGGGGTTGCTGTAGCCCATAAACTAGCACCGGGTGCTACTCTTGAAAAGTGGTACAAGCACTACCGCTTCCACTGTCCGTTCCCAAATCAAAAGCACTGGGTGGAAGGAAATCGTCGTTTTGTTGTTTGTTTTGTTTCGTTTGTGGCAGAAGTAGTCCCCACTCCCTCCCCAGTAACACCCTACCCATCTAATGTTTCCTTGTTTGGGAATACACAGGCAAAGCCCTGCTGGGAGTTATGGAGACTCAGGGTTCCTGGCCACTCAATCTCTGGACAACCAGCTTCTAAACTTAGGTGCCTAAAACTAGATTCTGTCAGCCACAGCACCCTTCTGCTGGCCCTCCACTTCCACATAATAGCCCTCTACCTCCTCTGACCTTCCCCAGCTTGATTCCACTACCAACCTTGTCCCTTTCCCTAACCACCAGGCCTAGCAGCCACTCCAGGTTCTACCCCAGGAATTGGCGACTCCCTGGGGCTTGTCCCACCTTCCCAGGACAATTTCCTCTATGCCACTCTGGTAGTCCAGTGGGACAATAAAATTTCAGTCTTTTTTTTTTTTTTTTTTTTTTGCCCCTATTAGATACCAGGGCCCAGGTCACTGTCATTCCATGAAATCCCTCTCAGTTCCCAAAAGGAAAGTCCTTATCCTTATAGGGAATTGCTGACAAAACAATCAAAGGTGTATAAACCCATTGGGATGTAGCTATTGGGACCATTCACTTCAAATGGCCTCCTCTGGTGGTGGCCCCCTGGCGCTTTCTTTCCTTACTATAAGCATGGATGCCTTGACAGGATGCCATGCTCTTGTTCTTCCTAACTGGCCTGCCAAATGGATGCCTTGACCACTCCTCTCTAGTCAAGACAGTTAACACTCCCCAGTACGACTTAAACAAAGCACTGAAGGCCTATCCCATTATTAAAGATATGCTTCAGCCAAGAGTCATGGGGGGCCTGGGTGGCTCAGTCGGTTAAGTGGACTCTTGCTTTCCACTCAGGTCATGATCTCAAGGGTTCATAAGTTCCAGCCCCATATCCGGCTCTGCATGGTTGCTTGAGATTCTCTCTTTCTCTCCCCCCTCCTCCACGTATGCACACACACTCTTTCCCTCTCAAAAATAATATATAAACTTTTTTTTTAATTTTTTAATTTTTTAAATATTTAAATTTTATTTTTTTAAACTTACATCCAAATTAGATAGCATATAGTGAAACAATGATTTCAGGAGTAGATTCCTTAGTGCCCCTTACCCATTTAGCCCAACCCCCTCCCACCACCCCTCCAGTAACCCTCAGTTTGTTCTCCATATTTATGAGTCTCTTCTGTTTTGTCCCCCTTCCTGTTTTTGTATTCTTTTTGTTTCCCTTCCCTTATGTTCATCTGTTTTGTCTCTTAAAGTCCTCATATGAGTGAAGCCATATGATTTTTGTCTTTCTCTGACTAATTTCACTTAGCATAATACCCTCCAGTTCCGTCCACGTAGCTGCAAATGGCAAGATTTTATTCTTTTTGATTGCCGAGTCATACTCCATTGTGTATATATATACCACATCTTCTTTATCCATTCATCCATCGGTGGCCATTTGGGCTCTTTCCATACTTTGGCTATTGTTGATAGTGCTGCTATAAACACGGGGGTGCATGTGTCCCTTCGAAAGAGCACACCTGTGTCCCTTGGATAAAAGCCTAGTAGTGCAATTGCTGGGTGGTAGGATAGGTCTATTTTTAGTTTTTTGAGGAACCTCCATACTGTTTTCCAGAGTGGCTGCACCAGCTTGCATTCCCAATCTTTATTTATTTTTGAGAGAGAGACAGAGTGTGAGCAGGGGAGGAGCAGAGAGAAGGAGACACAGAATCTGAAGCAGGCTCCAGGCCCTGAGCTGTCAGCACAGAGCCCAATGCGGGGCTCGAACTCACAAACCGTGAGATCCTGACCTGAGCTGAACTTGGACGCTTAACCGACTGAGCCACCCAGGCGCCCCTAAACTTTTTAAATTAAAAAAAAAAAAGTCATTATTCCCAAAGCTCCCCCCTTTCAATAGCCCCACAGGCTGGTATTAAGGCAACCACTAATGCATGACACCTCACCGTTGACTATCTATCCAAACCTCACTGCTTAGGTTCCCTGCTTTAGGCTCCAATTCCTAATATTATAGAACTGATTATAGGACATACAACAGGCCCAAAGAACATCCTTCACAGTCACTGACCTAGCTAGTATGTTCTGTTTTGTTCCCACTGTGTACGAGTCCCAGGCCCAATTTTCTTTCACTTTTTAAGGGACTCAGTATACATTTTCTTAGCTCCCACTGGGATATTTTTAAACAGTCCTGCAATTGCACATCACCTCTGCGAGCAGGTTTGATAGGATGTAAGTACCTTACAATTGGAAAGATGCCATTTGGGCATTATATTGATGACATTATATGAGGACAAAATGATATAATTCCCTCTGAGGAGGCAGTACAGGCATATTTGCACATCCTCACAGACACATTTACACAGGCCCAGTTTTATCTGTCAAGTTTCCAGGCATCATCTAGTCCTTTCATCACAGAAAAACTAAAAGTTACCCAGATATGTTAATGCTATCTGGGAAAACTGAAAAAAGAATATGCTTCTAGAAATTATGAAATGTATTTATAAATTTGCAAATTTAAAGAATGCTGCTATAACAGTCAGTTCACAATTGCTTAGTTAGTTTTCACTAGAAATTAAGGTGATTTAAATAATATATGCAATTCAAACTACTGGAAATAATAAGGGAAGCATCTTCATTGTGCCAAAAAAGTAGGATATGTTTCAATAAGAGAAGATGTGAGGAAAGGAGGTACATTTTTTTCTTAAGGGAAAAGAAAGTAATTTTGTCTCCAAGTGAGGGTATTTAAAGAAGAAAAACAGGAAAAAATTGGAATGCAGAAAAGAAAGTTTGTAGAAGGATTATAGATAAGGAATTTTAATGTTTAATTTATTTTTAGAGCAAGAGACAGAGCTTGAGTGGGGTAGGAGCAGAGAGAGAGGGAGACACAGAATCTGAAGCAGGCTCCAGGCTCTGAGCTGTCAGTACCATAGAAAAGGAATCTTTGAAAAGGAGTTGTAATGTGTAGCCAAACTAAGATTAAAATTAATTTACTTAAAAATGAGTTTTAATATCAAAAGTAAACTGGTGCGAAATTAAAATTTTGTTTTCTCTCTGTTAAAAGGACAGTTTTCTTGGGATTTATTGTATGATTATGATATACTGTGTAAAGTTTCTTTACCTTTTTTATGATAAATTACTTTTATTACATTATATTTGGTAATCACACTCAATCAACAAGGTCAACAGAAACTTGTAAATATTGTGCTAAATAACACACTCTATGTACATACATTTTCAGTACAGTAACGTTAAAATACTCCATTTCTTTTATTCATATACCTTTGCAAAGTGGGGAATAAATAAAGATACAAACACAGAGGGGCACCTGGGTGGCTCACTCAGTTAAGTAGCCAACTCTTGATTTCAGCTCAGGTCATGCTCTCATAGTTCTTGAGATCAAGTCCTGAGCCCTGCGCTGTCAGCACAGAGCCAGTTTGCAATTCTCTCTCTCCCTCTCTCTCTGCCCTTCCCCACCCTCAAAATAAATAAATAAACATTAGAAAAAAAAAGATACAAACACAGAAAAACGTCTTATCTTGAGCTGGTAAGAGTAACAGAAGTTACAATTATATTTATTGATAAGCCAATGATTGACCCTGACACTAGCAACACATAAAAAGTAGCCCTTGTTCAGAAAAGTGTGGTAGATGGTTCATGGAAGTGATACCGTGTGGTCTCCACAGTGGTCTATTTGAGGTGATTTTTTTTTTAATCGCTAAACTGGATTACTAACTCATAATAAAATGTAACTAGTCAAATTTAAACCATGATCAAAATGGGTCTACAC